ACAAGAACCAACCTACCCAACAACTAACAAGGACCATACAACTGAACCAATCTAAAAATCGATGGAACCAACTATCCAAGACAACAAGACAAAGAGGCTAAGACCGCATTAACCGAACAAGTTCGATAACCCAGATCCAAAACCCAAGCACAAGATCATACTCGAACTACCCACTTCCGACGACAGCCACGGAGGAGAGACGGAGACAGGATCCCGACCACCCAGAACCAGACCCAATCTGACTCGCTTCGAACACGAGGTTCGATTAAGCAAAAACCCATATCTGAGCAGAGGAGGATAACACAAGCCCCCACACCCGAAGACGTCGCGATTCATCCACCCCCAACACCACGACACAGCCGAAACCACCTCTCCAAAACCTACCGAAACCGAGACAGAAGCCGAAGAACCATCTCTTTGAAGAAGCTCCGATTGCAGCCTAAACCCTAAGAACAAACGAAATCAAGGCATAATACAAGGGGATCCGGCACCAGCGCTAAGAAAGCCGCGGTCACAGGATCAAACGAGGCAAAATCCGTCGAAAGTACTGTAGCAGGCGGCGATATTATTCTCCACCACTAATCGCTATCTTTTAGATATATTATATAAATTAACCCTTAAGTATATGTTTAGTCCACAAAATTTGAAAAATTGCAGATACAGTTGTCTATACATATTGTCACATTTGTGGATTAATTAATATAAACCTAAATTTATTAAACCATATGGGAATATGTTGAAGAGACGAAAATTTATCTCTAGTATCTCTCTTTTCGTGAGATCTACGTAAGAAAAAGAAAAAACACACCTATTGGAGACAATGATTATTTTTTAATTGTTAAGACCATCCGCATTCGTCATCTTTTGTGGATGTCTTTAAATAAACAAATATTAAAAACCACACTCTCTCTTTCTTTTACTCAACTTTATACCTTTTCTTTCATTCTTTTACTCAACTTTTATTAATTTTATATTTAAACACACTCATATTCTCTCTCCAAAAGTTACTATTTATGTCTTCCTAAAGACACAATCTCTCCAACAATATCCACTATCTCTTCTCTTTACTTAAATTTTATTAATTTTATATTTCAATACACCCCATTATTTCAACAAAAAACACTCTCTTTCTTCCTTTTACTCAAATTTTAATAATTTTATATTTAAAGACATCCACATTTGTCTCCAATGCGGATGCTCTAACTTGTAAGTGGTCCATTCCATTCGCGTAGAATATATGATTTCAAGTTTAACTTCTAAACTGTTTTAATATGTTTAAAAGTTTTGGTTTCTAATTTGTTAAAAAGCATCGAATTTACGTTTGGTATAAAAGTTGCACATATGAGTATATGACTAATCAAATATGTGGCCTAAATCTTTCAACAAGCTGGAA